AAGAGAATTTATCAGGAAACAATTCATCAGATCGAAAGAAATACAAATTTAAGTTACTTGATAATCAAAAATTCAGAAAACATTGAGAAATAACATATACGGATGAAACATGAATAATTAGGGGAAGCAATAAATTTTTATTGCTTCTCCAAAGTTTTTTGAGGGGAAGCAATTGCTAACTCGTTGCTTGCTGGTGCGCCGCCTATGACTTATTCTTGTAGCATATTTAGTTCTTATTCATTATATACATATGGATAGTAAAAGTTAATTGAAAACGGCATTTAAACTTTGTTGAACAAACGTGTGTATTTTGTACTTATTGGTCCGTTATTTTTCGATGTTTTCTGAATTTTTGATTATCAAGTAACTTAAATTTGTATTTCTTTCTGGTTTCGTCCCTGATCACCATATAAGAACGTACTCATAAGGGAGATCAACTAGTTGCTAACATAAATAGTTAAATAGGGTGTGGGTATGACTTCGGATAGAAACAAACTCAAACTCACATCCACACACACCCACACCATCAAAGTACACGTCTTTTATGTATGTTGACCACAAAACAACGCAAGCCCGTCAATATAGATCTGTTAAACAAATTAATTGTTGAATTAGATGCAGGAGTGTTTAATCCTTATGTTGATATTCTAATGCAATCAGCGCTTACAGCTGTATTTTTGGATTTCTTTCGATCTGATGAATTGTTTCCTGATAAATTCTCTTCCAATTTACATGTTATAAACGTCGATGTCACACTTGAGGTCTCCAAAATTATTATTCACCTTAAAACCTCAAAGATTGACTTAGAAAACAAAGGCGTTGATGTTCGTTTATTCAAGAACGGAATTCTTGCATGTGAAGTTCATGCTTTGACTAAATTTACACGTATACGAAGCAGCAAGCAAGATAATTCTTTCTTCATTTTACCAAACGGTCAACCATTGACTCGTAGAACGTTCGTTGAAAACTTAAGACATGTCTTGATGCAATTAGGTATTCAAGCTTCTTCTTACAGTGGTCACACTCTGCGAGTAGGTGCTACTACATCTGCAACGACTCCAAGTGTTCTTGATCATTTAATTCAAGCTCGTGAACGTTAGATTTCATTGTCTTATTTACGTTATATTTCTGTCAGTAACAGTGTTATTCAAGAAGCTCATAATAAAATTTTAAAGCTTTCTCTTTAATTGATTTATAATGTTTGGGCACGAAGCTCTCATGTTTTATTCAAGCTTCTTGTGGTGTTTTTTTTCAGTGCCCAAAACTGACTCAATTCTATCTATATGAACAGTCTATTTATGTAGTTTTTTTTATTGACAGAAATATATGTCTAACTCGCCACATTAAGAATTAGAATTTTTTTCTTTTTGTAGGAGAAGATCAGCAAGAATAGATTATTAAACTCTTATTTTTTATACTCTTATTTTTGAGACAAATTTGTTTTGTATCTCTTTGAAAGAACGAAATCACAATACGGACAATACTATTTCATGAACAACTTCAAATGCCAATCAATGACGACATCCTCGAGGCATATTCTGGACGAAAAAGCTGTGTTACAGTATTGATTTTACTGACTATCGTTATCTCGTCTACCACTATCAAAATACACTTTTATTAAGCATTAAGAAATATGCTTTGGATATTCACATAGCAGCTCTTAAGCCTATCTTCATTGTTAAATTACTCTCTTCTTAACATACTAATTCATCAGTACCTCATTGAAACTATCAACGAGAAAGACCAGATACATTGTGATATACATTTGATACATGCGAAGGTGAGGCTCAATCTCCTATTGATATTCGAACATCTCATGTCAATAACAAACCACAATTTAGTCCACTTTCTTTCAACAGTAACACAACGAACATATCTTTATATGTATGAAATTTTACGCATAATGAATATATTATGGTTGTCTATTTACCGCCATTAGCTCGTCTCTTAATAGATGGAGCTAATCTACCAGATGTTTATTAAAGTGAATACAATAGTTATGTACGATGGACAAGAAATTCAAATAAATTTACCTAATAATCCATCATTAGATATAATATATAAATGTTTACATGAACAAATGGCAAGAACATTTGATTTTCGTACATATATCATTCAATTATTTGATTCAGCTATAGGAGAATTTTTTGATTTAAATGATGATGGTTTAAAATCGTGGTTTTGTCTTCCATTAAAAGAAAAAAATTAAATGCAGTTGCAAATTATTTGTGTTGGAATTAATCATGATGATACAAATGGACATGAAATAAATACTAATGAAAATATTGGCAAAGTTTTTCAAAAATTGAACGTGATATTCAAAACTTTATTTAGTGCTATTGAAAGTAAAATTTATAGTAAAAAATTTCAAATGCATTTCGTGTATTCAGATCCTTAGGCAACATCGAATGATATTCGTCAAGATTTTAAATCTGCACTTGATAAATATCAGAGATGGGACTGGTTCGGTTTTTAACAGAACCGAATCGAGCGACCGTAACCGAAATCGGTTCGGTTGGAGATATTTAAAAAAATCGGTCGGTTACGTTCTGTTCGGTTAGAAAGAATCAACATAATCTTTTTATTTGAGTTCGATGGGCATTTTTGAGACATAAGAAGAAAAAAGAGTATAATCGTACAACAATTAGCTGTTGTTCGTAACTCGTATTATCTCACATATTTTTTAAATTTGTTGTGAGAGGTAAGGAAGTTATAAAACAGTAAGAGGATCCAATAAATAATCTTTATTCTTTACTTTCTCTAGATGTTCATTGCTCATGGTTGCTACTGTTCGGTTTGTTGTTGGGAAACGTTCAAGTATTACATCATCAGCTTTATGGGAGTAGGGAGTTGGCTAAAGTTGAGAATTGATTACTTCGTGGAAGAGGAAGGTCGTTCGAAGTTCATGTAATCATTAGGAATTTATGCACTGTTGTGCAATGAGTTACGATATCGCGTTTTTGTTTGATTAAGTGATACTAATGCTATGTAATAATCAATAATTCATTGGTTTATGAGTGTGAGCTTATTACTTGACTCAATCCACTTGATACACACATGTATGAAATCATAAAGTGTAAAATGACAAATACAACAGGAGAAATAAAGTTTATCGATTAATGTAGATGATAGTAAAATGCAGATAATCTATGTGATACTGTGGGTGTGGGTGTGGGTGTGGGTGTGGGGTGTGGGTGTGGGTGTGGGGGTGGGGGTGTGGGTGTGGGTGTGGGGGGGAGTAGCTGTGTGT